AAAAAAACCCGTCCATGGTCAAAGCGATGCTATGAAATGCCACTGAGCTATAGAAATTTAAAAAAAAAAATCAAAGTTCTCGTATATTTCAAATGGGAAATCTTCACACGCTGTGTAGGAGTACTTAATATTAATATTAAGGGCTCAAACTTTCAGGGAATTTTTTTGGGTGTATTTCCAACAAAATTTCGGGATGGAAACGAAAAAAAAAAATAGTCGCAAAAAAAAAAGCACCCTAATATATAATTATATATAAATATTTTTTCTCGGGTCTTCGAGAATAGAGGATGGAGGATAGAAGAGGTGGAAAGCAGGTGGGAATCGGGCACGATGAGAGGGGAAGAATTGGTGAACATAGAAATAAGGAGGCAGGAAAGGGAGAGATGGGAAAAGATTCTGGTTTCGGAAAGTAATAGAGATTATAAATTTATTAAAGAAAAGGGTATACCGGGACATCTGAAGAAGGGTCGGAGTGAGGATAGATGGTGTAGAATGGCTAGATTTAGGCTTAGAGATTTCCTAAAAGGGGGGAGATACTGGGAGGAAAGAGAAAAAAGGTTATGTGAGGTATGCGGGCGGGAAGAGGAGATCTGGGAACATGTATGGGAAGTATGTTCAGGTATGGGGCTAGAAAAAGGCTGGCAGGAGATGAGAATGGAGGTTCTGGGAGGTGAAGGGGAAGGAGAGGAATGGATAAAAGGGATAGAAATGTTGTGGGGACGTTCAAGGATGGAGTAAAGTATTCAAATAAGTTTTTAGAGTAATTTAAAAGTAAAAGTAGAAGGATACAGCGGAAACGGAAGTCAAGAGGATGAGTGTGGATGGATGAGGTATGAGAGGAATAGCGGTTTTTTCTTGGCCTCGGCCTTCTTTTTTTCCGCTGGTAAGGTGGCGAATTGTGCACCCCAAAGTATTCTGTTTTTCTATATAGTTAAATAAGGTGATACATGATTGTATATTGCTTTGATTTTTTGATCTCTGTTAACTAGGTTAAGGCTCGATGTACATAAAATATAGGATAGCTAGAATTAAGTATGTAATTTTTGTAAGTGGAACGGGGGTCCACTATTGTACCCCTAATCTTGGGCAATAAATTCTATTATTATATATAATACTAGAAATTATGATAAATTGAAAATATTATAAGAGCTAGAACATGTACTGCGGAAAAATCAATAATATATAGAGGCTTTAAATGGTACAATAGACTTGAAAGTGAAATCACTAGTGAAAATAGAATGAATATATTCAAAATTTTACTACGACAATATGTAAAAAGTAATATTGATATGTTTAAGGTAGTTACAGCATGAAATCACTTTTCGACAGATTCGGCTGAAATTTTTTTTACGGGTTCAGAATAGCTTTATTTATAAATTCCTGAAATTTCATAATTTTTGACCGTTTAGATCGCGAGATATTTAAAGTCAAAGTTGGCGATTTTGAGGGTCATGTTCCATCCAAAGCATGTAAAATGTCCGGTCTCTCCAACTATTTTTTATTATATTAAAAAATTCTCTCGACAGAATTGGAAAAAAAATTAGGAGAGTGTTGAAAAATGTTTTTAGAATAAGTTAAAAAAAAAATAGCACCTCACCGTTTTGTTATCGAGATATAATAATTTTAAAAAATAAATTTCGATCCATTTCTAACCTGCTCACTTAACAATTTATAGTGATTTGGCAACGCCGTGCGCAACGCTCCCTGAAATAGTGTACACCGAGTGTAGCATAAAAAGCGGGAAATTCAAATCTTTCACGGTTTTCAAGAGCAACGTTGCCAGATCACTAGACTAACAACATGTAATTGTATGTGTGAACGTTTGTGTGCCAAGGCTTTTAAATTTTTGTCCATAGTAAATGCTCTGACTATACTATACCACGCTGGAACCACGTTAATTATTAATTTTATCAGACAACTAGTAAAATTTCTTCCTAATCTTAAACCTTACCCAAAAATTAAAACAAAATTTTTTCCAATTACTAATTTTCCATTACAATTTAACTCATATTTCTTCCTAACAAAATTTTCTAGGTTCAAGTTCCTGGTACCAGATTACATTCTCGGTAACAGCGCAGACTCCTACAAAACCCCAAGCGAGAGCGTCTGCTCAAACGAATGGAACCGCAAGGCGCTGAAACGGTTCCGTGACGGCGAAGTGAATTGCCTAGTAGCGACAGACGTTTTAGATGAAGGCGTGGACGTTCCACTGTGCAACTTGATAGTCTGCTACGACCCTCCACAAAACTACCGCGCCTACATGCAGAGCAAAGGCCGAGGTCGTTACAAGCACAGCAAGTTCGTGGTACTGGTCGAATCTCAAGACAATTCGTACCTAGCAAAGTACAACCTGTTCCAGCAGATTGAGCGAACTCTTCGGAACTCGCTGGTCGGTAAAACAGAGCAGCGCCCTCAGCCGACTCCAGACGAGCTGGAGAACCTTTATGAGAACGATATCGAGCCTTACACAGTTACAGACGTCAATGGCGTCGAAGCGACAGTAACTGCTAGTGCAGCAATCAGTCTCTTGGAACATTACTGCGGAACTCTGACGCGAAAGACAAAATTCTCCAACAAGTCTCCAATTTACAAGCTTATAAAAAAAAGAGCAAGATCTCCGCTCAATTCTGCTTTGGAGGTTGAAGTCTTCAGTGTCTCCGTGAGGATGCCCATCCATTGCCCGCTAAGGGAAGAAATTGTTGGCAGGACGATGGATGACATCAGCAGCGCCAAACAAGCTGTGGCACTGGAGGTCTGCAAGAGGCTGCACAAAATGGGGGAGCTGACTGACCGGCTGCTGCCCAAAGACACCAAGGAGATTGTTGGAGATATTATTGATCTGCTGCCCTGCTGGAGGCACGAGGATCCGGAGAACAAGAAGGTTGTCGGAACCAAGAACTCCAAGAGATTTTACAGCTATGCTGACCCGGTTGCGTTTTATAAATGCTTCCCGGTGATTGGCCAGGAGAATTACTTGCACTTGATCAAGCTTCAGATGCTACCGCTGCCCAACAATCAGGTTAGAATATATTTCTATATATTATAATAAAATAGTTTTGAAATAGCAGAATCTTTTAGTTAATGAAAATATTTTATAATTCTTGATCAAAATTCTGACGTCTAAATCTTAAATAAGAGTTCTTTGAGAACTGTAAAAGACGTCATATTGCTATCTGGGTATGTGTGAACGTCTGTGTGCCGTGGCTTTTAAATTTTTGTCTATATATAGTAAATGCTATCTAATATTTTGCTCGTTTAGTGATGAGCTTCATTAAACCGTCATTAAGCCACACGATAGCTCACTACTAATGATACTATAGTAAATGCTCTGACTATACTATACCACGCTGGAACTGCGTTAATAAAATAGATGAAAAATGATAAATGTAACAGTGTATATAATAATATGCTATGTTTTGTAAATATGTATATGTAAATATGAATAACTAAAAGCTAATGTACTTAAGTACAATTAAATAAATTATATTATTTTTTCACATTCTTTTATTGTATTGTTATTTCATAATTAGATGAGCATTATGAGTCGTGCACTTTTGGATATTCCAAACTTTTTGAAGTGGAAACTTATTAGTCGCGTTGGGCACTTTCTGATAGGGGAAAATCTTAGGGGTTTGCATCACCGACATGCTATGACTGGCGCACGCGCAGCGGCCGTGTGCTGTGCGCATTAGACGCTTTTTAGATGGATGAAATCTCATGCATTCGCGTCACCGACATGCTTATGGCAGTATATCTGTAGCTATACAGCTGACGTATTGTGCAACATTAGCGGTTTTTAATTATACTTAGTTAATTTAAATTTCAATCAAGCATTTTCATTTCTTACTTTAGTTACTATAAGCCTTTTTTATCTTTTTTAGAACACAATGAAATAATTAAAAGTACAAAAAGTCTAAGTATTATTGTTGAAATTAATGATGACAATGATGCAAACAATGAAAATAATATTGAAAAAATCAAGTACATCAAAATTTACGTAAATACAAATACTATCTATAAATAATATGATTATATTTTAACCCTTCAGGACATGGGCTATGAGATTTTTTCTCATGCTCAACTTCAATCTCAAATATTTTTAAATATTATTTCAATTGAATTCTATTTATATTTTCTTATGATCTTGTACAGCCCGTAATATATTTGAATAATAAAAAACAATATCAAAATGCATAAAATTATTGCTCGGAGTGTGAATAGATGTGAAAACCAGATTGATGTTGATGATTTTAATTTAACCCTAGACTGGTCAACAAACGCGACCTAACGACTTTGGTCGAGTGATGAGGGATTTGCCGCAATGCTTTTAGAGCGAACAGTGTTGCCAGTTCATACACGTTTGACAGGCAGAGACTAGAGGTGTTTTCGGCAACGCCGCGGACAAAAAACTATACTTACGACTCTGGTCAAGCGATGAGGAAAGCCCCGCAAATTTTTTTAAGAAATTTTTTTTCAGCAATTTAACGTTTTCAACGATGTTTGAAAAAATTATTAATATATTCTAAAATGTTCAAGGAACTAAGTCAAATTTTTTTGAATAATTTTAGTAAATATTGAAGATGTAATAAACAAAATATAATTGAGCGCGGCGTCACGCTCATAGGGTGACCAGTCTAGGGTTAAACATTATGAAATTTCAAATTTTAATAATTTTAATACTAAAAGTTCTAAGTTTTTACTTCTATCGGCAGTCTCTATAATTGCCAATTTTTTTTATTTTACCAACAACGAACCACGAATCTAATTCAAAAACTAACCAACAAAGTTGCGGGTGTCATCCCCTTTCTCATTGTGACTATTTTTTTTTTATCAGAAACTGTAATATTTGCTACTCCGGGAAAATAATGTAAATCCCTTTTTAAAAAAAAATTGGTATTGAACTTGTAGGTTTAAAAAAATACAGGAGTAAAATATATAAGAATGGCCAGTACAGTTGATATACTTACACATTAAAAACATATTTTGTCAAAAAATACAACTTTGTTATACAATCTACAAATTGTAAAAAAAAAATTATCATTATCTTTATTATTATTTTTGTTATTGTTGTTATGATTTACTCTTGAGAAATTGCTCATGAACTCGAGAGAAAGTGCAACTTATATACATTTATCGTTCAAGCTAGGGAACTAAACAAGACAAGTTTTTATGAGAGAAAGTATTCGAGTATCATACATTATAACCACCTACTCTATTAATGGTTTTATACAATGAAGAGTGCATAAATTAATATTACGTATTATATATGAATGCAGTTATTAACTTGAGTAATGATAATAATTAAATGATAATAATTATTAATACAATCATAATAATTACTTGATCAATTTCAAAATTTCATCTTCAAAGTAATCAACTTATATCTAGCCTACAAAATACAGTCAGAATAAAAATTATCGATATAATGGATCGATTGTGCCAATAATAATTATCCTATAACAATTATTTTTAATGACAATAATAACAATCATCATTATTATCCTATAATCAACATCATTAATCATAAAATTAAATAACAAAAAGTAAATTGGGTAAAAGTAGTTAAAAATATTTATCAACCAAACATTGTTCGAATTTATTCGCATAACAAAAAAAAATTAATCAATTAACAATCGTGATAACAATAAACGTATTTTTGTAAACAAATAAAAAACAATAATACATTAACACTAAAAATAAAATTAATATAATAATAATAATAATAATAATAATAACAACAATAATTATAATAATAATAATAATAATAATAATATTAACAGAAGAGAGTACACCAAGAAGATTTCGTATTTTTTGGTTGTACAACTCCTCATTATTAAATGTCAGTAGTTATATGTACATCGGCGTATATTACAAATGTTGATTTGTTATTAAGAATACATCGTCCGCACAAGTTCAACAAATCTTAACTATTAACGGGTTGGAAGCTTCCAAGTTGATTGTTGGTTTGATACTGGCGGAACTAAATCCGCGGTAATTGATGCAAGTGAAGTAGAGCCTTGTTGTACTTGTAGCTGTTTGACGTGTTGTTGTTGTTGTGGTACCGGACTTTGTCTAGCTAATCGTTGGTTTTGATTTTCATCTCCTCCATCCTTGCGATCTTCCCATCCTCCACCATGAGGAGGATGATGATGATGATGATCTTCTGCTGGAAACCATTCCGAGATCCAAACGGGCTTCCAAATTTTCTTCCAATCAGGTACCCAAATCTCCTTCCATGCAGGCACCCAAATTTGTTTCCAATCTTCTTTCCAAGCTAGTTTTTTATCTGGTATCCATTCCTGTTTTTTCTCTGTTTTCCAGATCTGTTTCCACGCTTCAACCCACTCTAGTTTCTTGTCTGGAACCCAAATTTGTTTTTTAGCTGGTTTCCAAATTTGTTTCCATTCTTCTTTCCAAACAAGCTTCTTATCATCCAACCAAATCTGTTTCTTAGCTGGTTTCCATATTTGTTTCCACTCTTCTTTCCATTCGAGTTTTTTGTCTGGTACCCAAATCTGCTTCTTCGCTGGCTTCCAATATTTCTTCCAAAGTGGTTTCCAAATCAATTTTTTTTTCCAAAGATCATGACTTGTATACTGCCATCCGTGATGATCCGTCCCAACGTTATGCTCACCGGGAACTCCAACCTTAATCCACTCAGGAACCCAGATTTTTTTCCATGCTGGAACTTGAATTTCTTTCCATGCAGGTACTTGAATTTCTTTCCAAATAGGTTTCCACACTTTTTTCCAGTCTGGAACTTGAATTTCTTTCCAACCAGGCACCTTAATTGGCTTCCACACAGGTTTCCAAATTTTTTTCCACGCTGGCACTTGAATTTCTTTCCACGCAGGCACTTGAATTTCTTTCCAAACCGGTTTCCAAATTTTTTTCCAAGCTGGCACTTGAATTTCTTTCCATACAGCTCGTTGTGTTGGCTCCCAAACGGGCTTCCAAATTTTTTTCCACGCTGGCTTCCAAATTTGTTTTTGAGCTGGTTTCCATACCTTTTTCCAACCAGGCTTCCAGATTAGCTTTTTTTTCCAGTATCCATGATCATGATGGTCATGATGGTCAACATGTCCCGAATCAGCTCCTGGATCATATCTCTTTTGGATCACTTTATTATCTCTATAAGCAGAACAATAATTTTTCTTCAACTATCGCAACAAATGTGTTAAATTTTGTTAGTAAAAAAATAAAATAGTTATTCACCCTTGTTGAATCTGCCATGGGCCTTGTAAAATCCCAGTATTTTGATTGAGCGCCTTACTGCTAACAAGAGCAACTTGAAGCAGTAGCGCCACAAGTGCTATCTATAATTATCAATTAAACAATAATAAATTATAAATGATATGCGACAATACAATTAAAAAATTTTTAAAATTAAAAAAAAAAAACAAATTAACGCGACTCACTGTGCATCTCGGGCGAAATTTCATGATTTCCGAATGCCACCCGTTCGGGGACCGGGCGCAAACTCTTGTTTCCTTGCTGTAGGAAAACTCGCTTTACTTGATTCAATAAGCGGAACACCGTGGTTATATAGGCATGTATCTTCCCCCATGAAAGTAAATGCAAGTCCGGGTAAACTTAAAGCGAATTGGAATCGCTCAAAGAGAGCAGACATTATTGCAATTTAACTGGCGGGGATTTCTGATATAGTGGTGGCATAAAAGTAGGTATCAACGATCCCGAGGAAGAAAGGAAGAAGAAAAAAAAGAAAGAAATTATTTTTTTTTCTCTTCAAGTAGAAATACATTCTATCTTGCTCTAATGTCGTACGGTGAAAGTGATCGTTGGTGTACTTCCCCACTAGCTTACTTCCACTGCAACACTACCACCAATTTATAAAGTGATTTTAAGTTTACCCGATTATTTTGCGTGACTGTATTTACGATTCTGGAACGTTATTTTAAATGTCAACGGCAAGGTTACGGAGCAAGGTTATGCCTTTTGTGCTTTATATTACAGTTATTAATTCATTTTAGTTTTTTACAGAACATTGTCAGCTATCAGAAGACTGATCAATCGTAAATAATGGAACTTTCTCGAAAAAAAAGCAAACAGAAATATAAAACCAAGATGAAAGTGAATTCTTGAAGGTAAAGTAGTATACAGGAAGGTGACTTTCGCAACAGACCAAATTCGATATTTATTTTTCCTAGATACGTAATATTCTGTTTATCAATTTAAGTAACACGAAATAATAAAATAGAATTAAAATTGATAGGTAGCTAATTATCCAAAAAGTTACAATTATAATTATTATTACATAATTTTTAGTTTCTTCAATACTTATATCAAAAACTATTCAAAACTTTTTTTTTTAACATCCATTAATTAAAAACAGATCAAGAAGATTAAAAGTTTCATTTACAAAATAAATTATGTATATACTATGATTTATGATAATTAAGAGATATGTTAATTTGATTTATGATGAAGATAAGTATCTTTCAATTCATCATCATTTATTCGTAATAATAATTAAAATATATGTCATTAAGATAACAAATTATTCGATGTTATATGATTCGCGTATAAATATCTCATATAAAAAATGTTTCAATGAGTCAATTAAGTGGTGTAATAATCGAAATCGAAATCGAAATTGATATTGATATTCGGTATCCGCTCTGATAATAGCATACGACACACGCAACACTAAACGCTAATCATGGAAAGAGAAAAGAAAGTTTATGAGCACACACTCTAATGCTTCAGTCTTCTTTGTATTCATAGAAAAATAGAAAGAATGAATTTATAATGTTACTCTGCAGGAATAGAATTAAAATTTTGCAGCAGGAAGACAAGAGGAGAATGAAATCCTGTTAGCTGTTGAAAAATAAACTCTTGTAAAAATAAACGGAAAAATTCGAAATGAGAGAAAAATTTGAGTGGCTTTTGCTATCTTTCTTTTAAAGACAGAAGCATTTACATAAATTATTATAAATCTCAAGTTTTATGATAGTAGCTTCATTAATTCTAAAATTTGAAGAGTAAAAAACAGGAAAATGTAAGTAACAGAGGTTTTTTTGTCGTTATGCGCGTGAAAGTGACTAGTCTTGTCTAGTAACATAACTCGTTCATACAACAGCAAATATTTTTTTTATGACAAGCTTACAGCGTAATCCTGCGTTGAGAGGTTGGAGTAAGTTTAATTCGTGGGAGAGAGTGTCAAGGGCTTAATATTATTTGTAAGAAAAAGTGAAACTTATTCATCGTGCAGGAAATGAATAATAATAATAATATATCATATAATAATAATAATATATTGTGAGTTATTTTACAAACTTCAATATTCGGATAAATTAAATTAGTTAATTACTTCAAAAAGTCTTTATTTTTTTATTATTATACCATTAGAAGAATGTATACTTATTAATTAGAAGAAAGATACATATATAGTTCACATAATGGTATTTTTAATTTCAATTTCAAGTTTTAAATGTCAATGTTACTCTTCTGTGTGAAATTTATGTATGAACCAGGAAGACCCAAGTTTAATCCCAGTAGACCCCCAGAATTTTCCCATCAGATAAGAAGAATATTAAAATCCGAACAAAAACAGTTTCACTGTAAAAAAATCGCGCCAAGTCTACGTTCATAAGACTATTAAGAAAAAAAAATTAGTTTTTTTCTTTACAAAAAGATATAAAATAAAAAAATCCAAGTAACCGATATGATTGTTTATGATTTTCGGAAATTAAAAAAAATTTTCTTGTAAATTTAAAAATTAAAAAAACAATTTTGAAACGTATTTAGTGTGCGCGGTTGCAAAATATTTTACTTTTAACTAAATTCGTAAAATCTATTTACTAGAACTTTAAAAAAATTGAAATACACAATATGACGCACACCAAAGGAGTCTGGCGCTCCGTTGACAACGGATTTGAACGGAACTTGGCGCCAGATTCTACCGAATCTGTGGATAAAATTATTCTTACAAGTATTGCGTCATTAAAGGTTGATGTTTTATAAAATAACATTTATTAATATAATTTCTATCAATATTGTCAGTTAATAAATTATCTACATGATAATTTATTTAATAACTATCATTAATAAGTATTACATCAAGACCAATTTTAATGGATGAGAGATTATGTGTATAAAACTCTGTTCATTGTTTTGCGTTTAAAGTGTGTAAAAAAAATTTTTTTTAGTTGGTCGAAATTTTTTGTTTTATTCCATTGACATATACAAAACTAAATAAATAAATAAACATATTTTATTTACACAGTAAAAAATTTTGCGTCAATACGTCAAAAAATTTTGTGTTAAAAATTTTTATGTTAAATATTTAACACTTTTTTGTGTCAGTTTAACACAATAAATGTTAAATTTACACATAAAAGTATTAAATATTTAACACAAAAATTTCTAACACAACATTTTTTGACGCAAAATTTTTTACTGTGTAGTGGGAAATTCAAATTTATTGAGGATTATTTTGATAACATCATAATTTATGTAAATTAATTTATATTAATTAATAATTTACATTTCTCTATTTTTTTTTTGTTCATTTTTTAGGATTACTATGCATTCTCGAATATTTTAGTCTGTGGCAGATCACTTTGCCCATCGAAAAAAAGTCAGGATCGAAATTTTTGCGTTGCTATAGTTTGTGCTGATTAAATTTAGTAATTTCAAGTAGATTAATTGTTATATGTGAATATAATTAATTAATAACAGTAAAATAAAGTATGAATTACTGTTATAATATACAATTTAGGAAAAAAAATACCGTAGAATTAAAAATAAAATTTTGCAACCTCAAAATACCGTTCTGCTTACAGTAAACACAGTCGGTAGTCTGGCGCTCCGTTGACAACGGATTTGAACGGAACTTGGCGCCAGATTCTACCGAATCTGTGGATTCACTTCGAAATTCGTAATGAATTCCGGAAATAATATGTAAGCCCGGATTGTAAATATTTATAATTTGTTTCATAAATAATATTTTTTATTTGGAAATGAAATCATATAAAATTTCACTAATTTTATAAAATTCGATGAAAAACTTTTTTGCCGTGTATATAAAAATGTAAAGATGATAAATTCTACAAAAAGTTTAGAAAACGGTCCTTCAAAGGCTTATTGCGTCATCAGGTAAGATAATCCGTGAGAAAGTAATGGCAATTCTTAACAGTTAAGTTGATGAACGGCTAAATCTTGAAATGATAACCTTGGGCAGGTAATGTTGTAACCATTCGTGGCCTAGTAATAGTATCCGTACATTGGTTGTGCATTCAGTGAATCAATGTAACAAATGAAAATAACTTCTTTCTCAATTAATGAAGATTTTTTACAGATTTTTACTACAAATTTTAATAATTGAAATCAATAATTTAATTGTGTAAGAAAAAATCCAAATTGTCTCGGAATTTAACTAAAATCTTTCGCGATTACTGCCTGTCTAAACGTATTATTGTTTCTCATAAAAATTTTTTATTTTTGGCATGTAAGTTTTCCTGCGGTTGCAAATTTTTATTTTATTATTGAAAATTATGTAACTAATTTAAAAATTATTATTATTAAAAAGGAATCAAGTTAAAATCAATATTTTATTTTTATTTTATTTAAATAAACAAACCCAACAGCCAAAGGGCCATTAACAGGGTTCATAATACAACAGTTAGTATATAAAAAACAATTTTTGATGTATAGCAAGATGACTTACAGCTAGCATAGTGATTTCATATTTAATAGAATATTAATATTAATATTAATTATAGAGGTACTTAATATATCTATATGTATTATAAAAATTAATATTAATTATAAATTCAATAGGTAGATTGCTAAATGAGTAGAGCATTGATGTGTTAGCAATTGCAAACAAAAACAAAAAATAATAGTGATTGATAAAATTAAAAAGAAAAAAATAATATTAATACTATGAATAACAATAATTATTTAATATTAATTATTATTATTATTATAAAAGTTGTAGCAATTGCATATAATTAACACCATTAAGTTGATAATTTGCCAAGTGATGCTGTTATACAGCCATTAATATGATGAGGCTTCTAATTCTTTGAAGTTGAAATCTCTAAGCGACTCAATAGTATAAGAGCGACAGAAAGAGAAACACAAAACCGAAGATCAGATTGATAGCTTTTATTAGAATTAAGAATGAGAGTTGGATGTAGCAAAATTTTAACAAGCAAAATGCTCCAAATTTCACCTGCTACGACATTTTTGAGCTCTTCAAGCTTAAAAACATGATTTTACAGTTATTTTGAGCTTTCCAAGCTCCGAGATAAAACTGTTAAACGCGTTAGAGATTTTCGATATACGCTGAGAAAAAAAATACTTTTATTAATAAAATTTTCTTGATACAAGAATTCATGTTCTTGAAAATTTTCAAGAATATATATTTTTAGCTCAAGAACTTGTTAAATTGATTAAAATAATTTTTACTTAATTTAAAACAAAGCTATAGCTATGTATTCTCTTGTTTATCTATTATCCAGAGATAAATATTGATGCACTTCTCTTCAGAAATTAATAATTAACAATAATAGAATATTTGATCGTCATCGAATTTCTTGAACCAAGAAATTGATAATTGAGTAAAATTATTTTTTTTTCTCAGTGCATAGTCAGAATAGCTTCTTAGGGCCTTAAAACGTGAAGATCTAATGAGAACTCGATTTTCGAAAACTAAACGGAGAGAAAAATGTGTAAATCATTCCTATAATTTTAATGAAATATTTTCCTATACCATTTTAGGATCGATTACTTAAATTATGGGAATTGTACCCATAATTTTTGGGAAATGTTACTATAATTATGGGAATGGTTCCTATAATTATAGGAACGATACCTATAATTATAACTGTAATATCGGCATGATTCCCATAATATATAGGAATAGTTTCCATAATATTATAGGAACCATTCCTATAATATTATGGCAACCATTCCCATAATATTATAGGAATGATGCCTAATAATATTGGAGTAATTTTTTTTCACACAACTTCGGTATTTAATTAATTATTTTTAACTGAAATTTTTTTTTTTTATTAAATAATATTTATTATTATTAAATTAATAAGTTGTAGCAGTTGATATTTTTTTTAATCTTTAATGGTTACATGCAACAAAAACAGTTGATATTTTTTTAATCTTGAATGGTATACATGCTTGTAAATTAAAATAAAATAAATTAAAAAAAAAAAATTTCTACTAGAAAAAAAAAATTTCTTAAACAAAATAAAATTTCCAATGGTTTTAAAATTCCAAATTTTCACATGTTTTCGCGGCTCAACGTATGTATTGTAAATAAATAATTTGGTTTAAAAATAAAATGAAATTGTAAAAATAAACAATGAATTTCCATATCTATTTTGCTCCTCTAATTGTATAGTGAGAAAATATCCCTTTTATTAGAAAAACTTTAGAACTGCTACAATATTTTTCAATATTATTTAACACAATAATAACTGAGCTGGAATAAATAATTTAAAATTAAGTACACACGTGAATAAAAATTATGAATAAGAAATTTTTTCACTCTGGTGAAAGATCAGTTTTTATTTACAAAAAAATATTTATTAGCAAAAAAATATATAATAATTACTTTATATTTTTGAAGTGATTGCTTCATTATTAAGAAAATAAACGTTTTTCTATTATTATTTGCGTCATTCCCATAATATTTATTATATAATATAGGAATCATTCCTATAATATATAGGAACTATTCCTTTAATAGTATAGGAACCATTTCTATAATATTATAGGAACCATTCCCATAATATATTGAAGCTATTCCATTATTGTATAGGAACGTTTCCAATAAACTATGGGTATGGTTCCCATAATGAGTATAGAACTGATGCCTATAATGATCATTTTATTATAGGAACCATTCCCATAATTTTTGAAAAGGTTCCTATAAATTTCTCTCCGTGTACGGTGAAACCAATAACTTCCTGATTTTTTGAAAATCATTGATTTTCATAGTGGAAGTTAAAAAGAACATGTCTAATTCGTGTAGTTGTTTAATGCTCACTTGAGCAGATCAGCAAAGTAAGTCCGTTCGTGCGCTTAACTCCACTTTCGTGGTTAACAAACGACTTTTCACACTAATTATACAATACATTATTAAAATATGGATCAAGGTCGTGAAAATTACTATTTCTATTTTTATCGTGTATCTAAATCTATTTCAATACAAAATTAAAATTATCGTTATTTCAACTATTACACACTAGAATAAAGACATTAACTTTTTGAACAATACACTTTCTAAATATAATATGCGGATTGGCAGAATAGTAAAAATTTTTACTAAACGTTAACGTTTACTGACAAGCAGGAGAATCTAAAATGAAAAATTATTATTATTATTGCTCAATAAATTTTTATTGATAACAAAACTGATAACAATTATTTTAAACAGTGCCTATGGATAGCTGAGTCATTGTATTTTATATTGGTATGCTTGAGGCCAAGGGAGATTTTAAGTTGGGAGACCTGGTCATCAGAAGCTATATAAGGAGCTGCTCGAAGTAGGAGCGTGAGTTCTTGCCAATTTCTCGTGATGTTCTTAGTAAAGTCTTAATCGTGGACAACGATTAATGAACGAAATTTATTGTTTATCTCTGATAGAAGAAAATTTATTGAGTCATCATAATTTTGAAGGTCATCGAGGGTCGTAGAGCTTGAAAAAGGAAGACATAGATGATTTGTGGATTAATTGAATAATTAGAAAAAGCCGAACCTTAGAAAAAGGAAAGACTGATTGATTTCGTGATTAGTTATAGTATTAATTTGTGAGATGCATTAGAAATTAGATTTTTAAAAATAAAAAAAAAACAATTTTAAACATTTATGGAGTCTCCCTTATAACATAGTGAATTCTCAACATAAACAGTTGTTCGTTTATATATAAAAAAAATTTCTAATCTGAATTAAACCATAAGATTCTAAATTTTATACACATAAAGTGGAAAAAAAATCTTTTTCGGGTTCAAAATCTGTGTAGGATTCTAAGAAATTATTTGATGTTTTTTCGTAAGCTTTAAAAATATGATTAAGATATGGTTAAGATATGATATATTAAAATTTTTTTTATTTAAATAATTAATTTCTTCACGCAATTAACCTTCAACTTGTATAATTTACGCAGAAAATTATTTTTATTATTATCTAACAAAAATATCAATCACTCTATGTTAGAGTTAGAGAAAATTCAAGAACATCAAATTATGTATTGGAAGTAATGAGTTCATTGTAATAAAAGTCCAAGTTGTATTATGATGTAAGTTAAATACGCGCACATTACCACGATAATTTGTTGTTATATTGATGAAAGAAGAAAAGTAAAAGTATCTCAGTAAAAGCTATAGTCTTTCTGTTACGTGATAGGTGTGCTCAATATTTATGTCAAACACACCTAGACCATCTTTATCAATATACCCATAAGACCACTTGCACATGTATACTTTTACTCTCAATCTACTTTCATATTTAATTTTGTTTATTTGGCAATAATATATGAATGAGTATGAGGGAATAAAAAGTAAAAAGCTACCGAGAAAGAAGATCGAGTTATTATTGTTTAGCCTTGAACGGAACTTTCACTCTCTTTCTCTCTCTCACTGTCAAGGAAGTCTCCGCAATTTTTTTTACACCTGAAGTCTACATATGCGCATGTCCTTCACCCGGAAGTAATAAGCGTAAGTACTCGGTAGCACTTGTTTAAAATTCATTGAACGGTGATGAGGATGAGAAAAATTTTGTAGTAGAAAGAATGAACGCTCAGAGAAATTGTACGATCAATATGAGCGTATCTTTATCTTAAAATGCAAAAAAACTACTATAGCTCCAAGGCAGATGATGACCACGTGTTTATCTACAACTTCCGAGTGGGAAAGTCATGACTTCTCCCGCTACAAGTCGTAGAGAAAGTTTCACATTAAAGGTCGTGAGTTAGTTTTGCGACTTCTAGGACCTGTTTCTCTGTTGTTTATCTTATTTCTCTTCTTATTTTAATGTATTATACTATACCGGTTATCGAAAATATTATCAATAAATTTTAACTATATGTCCATAAATGCCCACAATAACTAATATCTAATAACATATAAAGTGTATGAAAAAAACCTAATTTCAATTTACAAAGTAAATAATAAATTGAAATACATAATAATTAATTAAAAAAATTATATACAAGTTTTATTAAATTAACAAAAGGAAGAAAATTAATTTAACCCCCGACAATAATACTCTGGAAGGAAAAAAAATTTTTTCTCCTTTTTGATTACATTTTTAAAATATTAAATAAAATTAATCTCATCGGTGATATCCGGGATGTTCGTCTTGATGGTGATGCAAATCTGCTGGTACCCAAACTTTCTCCCACACTGGTTTCCAGACTTTCTTCCATGTTGGCACCTGCACATTCTTCCATACAGGTACGTTCTTACTCTTCCACTCATCTTTCCAAACCTTCACTTTTTGGGGTATCCATACCTGTTTCTTAGATGGTACCCAGACTTTAACATCCTGGCTTTTCCATACAAGTTTTTTGTCAGTTTGCCAAATTTGCTTCTTTTCAGTTTTCCAAACTTTTTTCCACTCAGCTTTCCACTCCATTTTTTTCTTCGATTCCCAAACTTGTTTTTTCTCAGTTTTCCAAATCTTTTTCCAAACTGATTTCCAGATCATTTTTTTGCTCGGAGGTAATGGAGCAGGAGCATCATAATGATAACCATCTCCAGAATCTTGAGTAGGAGGTCCGTAACTTGGAGCAGGAGGGCCATAACTTTGTGATGGAACACCGTAACTTTGTGCTGGAGGACCGTAACTCGGAGCTGTTGGTTCATAGCCTTGATGAGGATTGTTATGTTCAGTTTCAACCCACTCAGGAATCCAAATTTGCTTCCACTCCGGCACCTGGACTTCTTTCCATGCTGGCACTTGAACAGTATTCCAGACGGGCTTCCATATTTTTTTCCACTCAGGAACCTGAATTTCTTTCCAAGCTGGAGTTTGTATTTTCTCCCACACAGGTGTCTGAACTTTTTTCCACTGTTCAACTTTAATCTCTTTCCATGCTGGAACTTGAATTTCTTTCCACACAGGTACTTGAACTTTTTTCCATTCCTGCTTCCACTCTAATTTTTTTTCATTTTTCCACACTTGTTTCCATTCTTCTTTCCATGTCAATTTTTTCTTCCATTCACCACTAGGTATTGAAGGTGCAGGATAATTGTACCCTGTATTATGATCCGATGATGGTGGTCCATATGAAGGAGCTGGAGGTCCATACGAAGAGGCTGGAGGTCCATGCGATGGGGCTGGAGGTCCATACGAAGAGGCTGGAGGTCCGTGCGAAGGGGCTGGAGGCCCATACGAAGAGGCTGGAGGTCCATACGAAGGGGCTGGAGGTCCATACGAAGGCGCTGGAGGTCCATACGAAGGCGTTGGAGGTCCATACGAAGGGGCTGGAGATCCATATGATGGTAAGGGTGGTGGCGGTAGCCCGTACTCTGACAAAGGAGCTCTAAAAGTAAAAAAAAAAAAAAAAAAGTTGAATGTACTTAATAAATGAAATTTTTGATTAGTATACAAAAAGTTAAAAATTGATACTAACTCTCTTTTATTGATTGATTTAGCAACAATCACGGATGTTGAGAATACAAGAAGCTGCAGCACCACCTAAAAAGATTATAAATGTAATACACTAAAATTTTTCTCAATACGATTCTAAAAGTTTATGTCATAATTTTTTGGATGAATTTAGGAAATTTTATTTACACGAAAATTTTTTTAATTCAACAATTTTTGAATGACTATTTTTCAACAACTATGTATATTGTTTTAAGATAATTGTATAAATACGCAAATGAAATATTTATTTTTGAAAATGAATGCTCATTTGAAACTAGAATTTTTTTATTTGAATTTATTAAAGGTAAAGTGTTTGATTAAATTGATAATTTGGACAAAAAAAACACGAAGTTCGCGATTGTTTAAAATTTTTAGTTTGCATAACGGAAAGTTACGAATTTTTATCGAAATAAAATTTTTATTACATTGAAACAATTAATTCAAAAATAAAATTTGAGAGTAAAAAATTAAAAATTATCAACCATGACACTTTCACGACAAAATAAATTGCGCTATTATTTCCAAACAAGTGGTAAATTGTTCTACGTTAAAAATAAATTTTATCAAGATTAAAATAAAGTTTAATCAATTTGTATCACAATAAATCACCAGCACTAACCAGCTTAAACTTCATGATTAATAATTTTTATTAATAAAACATAAACGAAATAACTATCAGAATTATATTTTAGGTATCACTAAATAATGACCCGAGCGCGTCTCACTACAGAATCAGTGGATCCTCTTCTGGTGAATTTGGTTGTCTTTGAAGTAGCTTTTATAGTCTGGAGGGACTAATCATTTGAACATGTATGTTTGTTAAGACTAAGGAAAAGAGCGTTTATGACTATGGGACACCCGCGGGCTAAATGATGAACACTTCTCTTTGGGCGAGGTAGGGGTACACCACAATACACACCCAGCTCCAGCTAAGTCCGGCACACAGAGAATTTAAAAACATTGAGAGAGATATCATAGAGTCGCCAATAATAGTGAAAAATATTTAAATTCAGTTACCAAATCAACTTTCGATTTTTATTTAAATATATATTTTTAGCTTTTGATTAAAAAATTGATAATCTATTATTGCAGAAATATTAAAATAAAAACAAAACATAACCGAAAAATGACTCTCTCGAACAGAAATTTATTTTAAATAATTTTATAATTGTCAATAATACTTATACTAAATTGTTGCATTACTAGAAAAAATTAATTTTTTTTTTTTGCAAATCTAACCTAATGATTTTTAATTAAATTTCGATAGTTTTTCAATTAAAGATTTTTGTTTTAATAATTTCCACAGATTCCTCTAAATATCTAATATTTATGAGACGATAGAACCAACAAAATACTATTCTTATTTCAATATTTCATTAGAAATATTCATTTCATCCAGATTACATCACGGTAACCGCGTCCATATCAAGAAATTAATAAAATCCAACTTAGTTTCCGGAATAAAAAGTCAATTGTCACTATCTACACGTGGTGAAAGTTGGATGCGGAGCATAAGCAACAAAGAAGACTTACAACATGTAATTATAAAGGCATCATCTTATCACTGTTGGTTAAACTGCGGGTATATATATAGATAAAAATTAAAACTAATAAAAGTAATTAAAAAAAAAAGTGAGTGGGAAGTAACAGTAAAGACAGTATTAATTTGAGAAGAAAATATATTCTGACGTTATAATTATGCTGGCAGCAATTGCGTAATTTAGTAATTCACTTTTCATTTAAACTGTAAATTTTGTGTTTTATGGCAGAAAGATTCCTTAAACTTATATCACTGATACAACATTTTGGTTGTTATATGTTCCTGTAACCTCCACCCATAGCTTTTATTGGGTTTTTACGTACTTTTGTTTATAAAATACCTATTAACTTTTGACAAATGCTAAAAACTTAATAATTATAACGACGTTTTTTTCTTTTTTATGTGGAGTAATTTAAAAAATTAGATAATTTCAATCATGATTTTTAGGAACGTAACTTGAATTTTTGAAACTGTGTACACAGTTTTCTTTCGAGTTAAGGACGAGGGAAGCAAGCATACAAAAAAATCTCTTTCTCTGTAATACATAGGGGTGGGACTCGATGGCCTCCCTAAGCCAGTAATTATATCACCCCGTTTTGCAAAAATCGAGTTTTCATCATTTGTATACTATCCTAGTAGTTTTTTTCTCTATTCATCATGAAATCTACTCCCATTTCGGCTGCCGAATGGCCATTTTTTAACTCTTGAGATTACATTTACTCCCTTAAGGGATTATACGCACTTAGGAAGTAAAAAAAGAACTTTTCCTAAAGTAATCTTTCAGTTTACTTACATCAAAATTTATAACCAAATGCAATACTTTGTATCCTATGTAAAACTGAATAAGTCTGAAGAATTGTTATGAAACTACTGTAGATTCATCGTGTAAAAATGGAACAAATCCACGGTGTTTCCACAGTGCATTTACGGTGAGTCTGTAGAGTTTCCACGGTGCGGTCTCAAGGTTGCGAGGGAGTGATCCAGAGGATATTATTAAATTTAATTTCGACCTATTTATAAAACCATTAAAAAATAATTTAATATCTAATGATTTCTATGTATTCCTCAACATAGTTTATAATTAAGAATTGTTTTTAATTACAACTTAAATTATTTTTATTGTTCATGTGTGTTTATAATAAAAGTAATAATTTTATTTAATGGTGATTTTCATTATCGACATTAATTTCCTATATACATAAAATTATATATTTGATGATTACACATATGATATGGTACTCAAATTGAAGCTTATTTAAAGAGCTTTCATATGCAATTTACAGAAATTCGATAAATTATCCCATTCAAAAGTTATTTAAGTACGAAAATGAAGAAATGGAAATTTTTATGATTTTTCATGATTTTGAAAATTTTGAAATCATGGCATTTCTAAATTACTTGACCGATTAAGCTCATCTTCGAACTTGACCTCGGTATCTATCTGTGGAATAAGTATGTTGAGTTTGATAAAGATCCATAGTAAATTGGCGACGCTATCGTGGTGACAAGCTGCGTTATATCGTATATATATATATATATATATACGATATAACGCGGCTTGTCACCACGATAGCGTCGCCAATTTACTATGGAT